CGCCGGATTCGTGAAATTTTAGCGCCGACCTTCCTACCCCAAACCCAGCCCCCGGGGGCATCTGGGGGGCCAGCTATTTGTTTTTGCATGCAAAGGCCCACATGCAGCCTCACAAACACTCTCTTTCCTTTTCACTTCTCACCTAACACACGCACGAGCTCTCTCTCTCTCCTCGTCTTTTCTTCCAACAACCACGCACCCCGCACCGCTCACCGCCGGGGCCGCCCTGCATGCCTGCTCGCGCGCGCGCGTCTGGAGCCACGGCAGCTCGTCGCTGACGTCGCGGGAGCTCGTCTACCGGCGTGGGGCCGTGGCGTGGCCGGGCCAGAGCTCGCTGCACGCGGACGCTGGCTCGCTGCTCGCTGCTTGTGCGCCTCTGCCGCCACGCGGTCGCGGTCACCGCTCGCCGCTGGCCGCCGCGGAGGAGCGAGCCCGCCTCCCTTGTGCGGTTCGGGACAGAGGCGAGAGACGGCTCGGCTGCACCAGCGAGCAGGCCGGCTTCCGGGGGAGGGGCGGGAGTTGCCACCGAGCTCGCGCAGCTGCACCTCCGGGTCGCCTCCAAGCTCGCACTGCTGCCGCTTTAGTCCACCTCTGGGTTGTCTCCAAGCTCGCGCCGACAAGGAGGGAGGGGGGAGGGGGAGCACGCAGCCGCCGTCTCCTTCGGGCTGTTGCGCCGGGATCGTGAGAGAGGGTCGGGTCGCGAGAGAGGGTCGGGTCGGCGAGCGGCGACCGGCGCCGGCGACCTCCTTGGCGAAGGGGATGGACTCCCCGCTGCTGTCCGCGGTGGCGAGCGGCGCCGTGGCGAGGGCGGCGAGCAGCAGGAGGTCCACGAGGGCGAGCGCGTGATACATGGGGAGGGCGTGCGGTGGCCGGACTGGCAGTGGGTGCGTGCGTGGGCGGCAACGAGTGGATAATTTTTCATCCCTAGGCTAAATATTTCGCCGGCAGCCCCCCAAGCGGCAAAAAAATGCCTCCTGGGGGGCTAAACGGCTAGAGATGCTCTAAGGCCAAATGTTCTTTATGCTTAAGAACCGAACTAGAGGACTCTGGCTGTCCAGACCTTGCCTTTTTCAGTGACATGCTTAGATGATATACCGACTTAACATTGAACATGTGGTTCCTAGTGTAATTCCATGCTAAGTAATCCTCTGAGTTTGGACCACCTAGTGAGATTTTTTTTAATTTTTTTGAGGTGATCCCAGTGAGTGAGATTTGTTTGATATCCAGTGCATCTGAAACTAAGAACATGTCATCTACTTTGGATGCATCCTAGCCCACACCATCAGAGGTCAGCATGTTTGCTTCCTTTGTAACTGCAGGTATATAAATTTGGCCAGTGGTCCTAAACAACCGTGTCTTGGAATTCAATTACGAAAAAGGGTTCCCCGCTTTATATATAAAGCATCATCACAACATCGAGCAAGAAGATACAAACGCACGCCACCACCACACTCAACGCACACACCCAAGGCGAGATACAAAGGTGCCGAGCACCGAAAACACCACCCCAACGACAACTAAGCACCCTACTGATAAGCCGAAGACCACCATGAAGATGAGCAATCGACTGAGGGGTGATGAGACGGACCAAGCGAGAGCGAGGACTCCAAGACGATGCCCTCAAGAGGGAAACGACTGTAGGAAGCCGTCACCGTCTGACCCCGAAGATCAGGTTTTCATCCGGAGTGACACGAAGGCAATGGGGGCACCACGACGGAGCCTGCAAGAAGGAGAACGACATCCACGCACGCCGTTTCCGTCAGCCAGTACCAGGATTGGGCGAGTGATGAACCCCGGTGCACCTACCCCTCCGTTGCAACCTCACTCCGCCAACCACCTACATCCATGCCACCCAAGCGACCATGGCTGCCGCCCGCACCCGAGCCGTGCGGTCAGCCCACGACCAACACGCCTCCCACCACCAGAGCCGCCTCCATGCATCCAGACCGCCTCGAGAACCATCAAAGTTCGAGGCTTTGGACAATCTGCACCACAACCACCTCTGAGACCGCCAGCGAACCCAGCGAACAATGCCGGAACCGATAACAAACAGGGATGGGGAAGGGGGAAGGGGGAGGGGTGGTCTGCAGCCACGACCGGCACAGCACAGTGCCGGCGACGGGCAGCTCGGCGGAGCTCCCTAGGCGGTGACGGGTGCCTCGGAATTCAATTGCCGTGATGAATGTTTACTTTTTTTGCATGGTTGCCGTGATGAATGTTGACCAGCCGTGCCTTCTCCCCGTGAAGAAGGAGCACGAGGCCATGGCCGCCGCCGACGAGATCGCCCTCAAATGGGCGTGGGAGGACTACGTCCGCGAGGAGATGGCGCGCCAACGGCGCGCCCTCAATGAGATTGCCACTCGACACCGCACACACGAGGAGGGCAGCGTCGTTGTCCTCGACGACAGCGACGGCGAGGCGCCAAGTCCGTCCAACCCCCATGCATTGGTGACCCTGGTCAAGGGCGCAGTAGGGATGGCATGCTGCTCGGCATGTAGAAGGCGGGCGATGGCGGCGGCGCAGTAGTTTTAGTTGTTTTTAAATTATGTCTTTACTTTTTTTTACAAATATGAATGAAATCGCCTAGTTTGGCCGAATTTGTGTTGTGTTTGCTCGATTTTTGGCCGAGTTTGGTTTTTAAAAAACGCCGTAGGGCGGAGGCTGGAAACCAACCACCCCAAACCGATTTTATCGCCGGTTCGCCTCGAGGCGGCGTTATTTCAAGCCCTTAAGGGACCAAACGACTGGAGATGCTATAAGACTTAAGCAACTCTCACTCGTGAAGAAGAAGAAATTTAAAAGAAATTTTTTACGGATCTCAAGGCAAGAACTTATAAATATAGCATCGTGAGATTTAGCAATCCCGTCATGTGATTAATTAACTCTGGGTCAAGGCGAGGCGCCCAAGAGTCTCGCCGTGCAGCTCGCGTCCTGTGTCGCGGGGGCAGCATCTTCTGCCTCCGCGCCCGTGTTGGTCATGCCGAACAGACTGCCCATCTCCTCCAGCGTCCGGCCGCGCGTCTCCGGGAGGTAGGTGAAGAAAAACACCCACGCGAGCACGGCGATGCCGGCGTAGAGGAAGAAGGTGCCGCCCAGCGTGATGGCGCTGGACAGCGAGAGGAAGGTCATGGACATGGCGCCGCTGACCAAGCGGTTGCCGGCCTCCCCGACCGCGAAGCCCAGTGCGCGCACCCGGAGCGGGAAGATCTCCGTGGTGTACACGCCCAGCACGGGCCCGAGGCCGATGGAGAAGAATGACACGTAGGCCAGGACGGACGCCACGCACAGGCCGACTGCCCACGGGATCCTCGCGTCCGGGTTCTGGTCCACCACGGTGAGGCCCGTCGCGAGGCCGACGAGCGAGACGATCATGCCGCCAGTGCTGCATAGCAGCAGAGGCCTCCGGCCGACGCGGTCTAGGAGGAACATGGCGACCAAGATGACGAGCGTCTTGACGACGCCCATGGCGCAGGTGGCGGCCAGGAGTTGGTGGTCGCCGGTGAGACCGGCGCTCTCGAACACGCGCGGGCTGTAGAGCACGACGGAGTCGGAGCCCGTCAACTGCTGGAACAAGAAGACGCCGAGCGCCGCGACCAGTATTCGCCGCATGGAAGGAGTCGGCGACAGGATGAGCTCTCTCCACACCTGCTTCTCCTCGCCGCCTCTCTTCCTGGGCACGACGACCACGTCGCCGTCGAGGTCGTCCGGGATGCCGGCGGCGGTCTTGATGTCAGCGAGGCGCTCCTCGGCCTCCTCCGAAGTGTCGGTGATCTTCTCCAGCACGACCCTCGCGTCCGCGAGGCGGCCTTTCATGACGAGCCACCGGGGAGACTCCGGCATGCCGGACACCAAGAGGGCGAGCACGACGGACGGTACCGCGCCGATGCCGAGCATGAAGCGCCAGCCGAGGTGGAGCGGCAGGCCAGCGAAGGCGTAGTTAGAGACGTAGCCGAGGAGGATACCGATGTTGATGAAGACCTCCGTGAAGGACACGAGGAAGCCGCGCGCCGACGCCGGGGCGATCTCAGCTGTGTACACGGGCGCGATCACGATGGCGTAGCCCACGCCGATGCCGGCCACGAAGCGACCGAGCATGAGCATGGTGTAGCCGCTTGCGAAGCCCATGAGCAAGGCACCAGCAAAGAAGAAGAAGGCGGCAAAGATAGCCGTGAAGCGCCGGCCGATCCAGTCGGACGTCCTGCCGGCGGCTAATGTGCCGATGATCGAGTAGATGCTCAGGATGCCCATCAGGATCTCCACCTGCACGTCCGTGATCTCGAGGTCTTTCTGGATATACAGCGACGCCCCGCTCATCACACCGGTGTCTGTGGCGGCCACGAAATAAACATTTCATATAGCCAAACACGAGACAGAATCAGGCGACGAGGTGATAACTGCAACAATGTGTACCGTAGCCGAGGACGATGGAGGCCATGGAGGCGACGACGGCGCAGGTGGATGCATACTTCATGTTGCTCTTCTTCATCTTGGGTGCTACTGCCTCTGGGAGCCCATCAGAAGCCATCGGGAACGCTACTCTTCTCTGCTCTGTCCTTACACAGGGAAGGCACTGACCATGGTCTACTGATTGCTGAAGTTTGGATCCTAATTGAACATGAGGGATGGTGGAGTCTGATCGAACAAGTGCTTGAACTATGCTTCTGCGTGCAGGCAAGTTCATAAATCCTGACCTTATTTGATTTCCATGACATCTCCAGGATCTTTTTATACTACATTTAATCGAGGATTAAGGCATCTTTTGGGATGCGCTCTAGTCACCCTATTGACCATTTGATCAACCAACTTTGATTATTGTTGTTTTTCAAATAGGAACATTTTTTTATTGTTTCAGCACATGGCCACCGCTGGCAGCGTAACCTTTGTCAGTTAGTGCATTAGGCAAATGATGGTACCAACCGGCACCTGCTGCAACAAATATTCTATTACCATCTCTGATGGCATAATATGCTGAGCCCACCCACCTTCCCGGTGAAACATCCACGTTAACTTTGAGTACTCCTGCCGGCGGTCTTTGCCAAAGAGGGCTACAGTTAGGGCATCTCCAGCCGTTGGCCCTCCCAGGACGCATACAAATCGTCCCCTGGGGACGAGCTGGCGATACACTCGGCGCTGGGGCGGTTTTACGCCCAGTCGTCGCCCCAGCTCGCCCCAGACGCTGAAATTGGTCCACTTTGCAGCCTAATTTCGGCGAATAAACGGCTCATATGGGCGAGAATAGGCCCATATTCGACGTGGTTTCGCCGTGTCTCGGCGTTCAATTATCAATACAATTATTTCTTATCATATATTTCATCACGGAAAAATCAAATACTTCAACAAAATACTACAACAACAAATAGTTCAATACAAGTTATATAGATCAACAAATAAAAACTCGTATTTCATCACGCGGCGTCCCCCTTGAGCCTCCATAGGTGCTCAACCAGATCTTTCTGCAGTTGATGATGCACCTGTGAGTCTCGGATCTCCTGACGCATACTGAGATAGGCAGCCCAAGTTGCCGGTAGCTGGTGATCAACTTCGGCTAGAGGACCCTGCCTGTAGTATGGTTCAGTGTCAAACACTGGGTCTTCTTGCTCGCTCTCGATGATCATGTTGTGCAAGATGACACAGCAAGTCATGATCTTCCACATTTGATCTTTCGACCAGGTCTGAGCGGGGTACCGAACAACAGCGAATCGAGATTGGAGCACACCAAATGCCCGCTCGACATCCTTCCTGCAAGCCTCCTGAAGCTTCGCAAACCAGGCGTTCTTGCCTCCTGCCACAGGGTTTGAGATCGTCTTCACAAATGTCGACCATCTCGGATAGATGTCGTTAGCTAGATAGTACCCCTTGTTATATTGGTGCCCATTGATCTCGAAGTTCACCGGAGGAGAATTGCCCTCAACGAGCTTGGCAAAAACAGGAGAGCACTGCAGCACGTTGATGTTATTGTGAGTTCCTGGCATACCAAAGAAGGAGTGCCAAATCCAGAGGTCCTGTGTGGCTACCGCCTCAAGCACCACACTGCAACCGCCTTTGGCGCCTTTGTACATCCCCTGCCAACCAAATGGGCAGTTCTTCCATTTCCAATGCATGCAGTCGATGCTTCCAAGTATCCCGGGAAATCCTCTTGCTGCATTCTGGGCTAGGATCCGAGCAGTGTCTTCCGCATTGGGTGTTCTCAAGTATTGTGGCCCAAACACTGCCACCACTGCCCGACAGAACTTGTAGAAACACTCTATGCTGGTGGACTCGACCATGCGCCCATAGTCGTCGAGGGAATCACTGGGAGCTCCATATGCAAGCATCCACATCGCTGTCGTGCACTTCTGGATGGAGGTGAATCCAAGAGCGCCAGTGCAATCCATCTTGCACTTGAAGTGGTTGTCGAACTCCCGGATGGAATTCACAATCCTGGGGAAGAGCTTTCGGCTCATCCGATAACGGCGCCGAAATGTTCTCTCGCCATGAAGTGGAGCATCGGCGAAGTAGTCGGAGTAGAGCATGCAGTAGCCTTGCAGACGATGCCGATTCTTTGCTTTCACCCGCCCCGGCGCCGAGCCACCTTGACGCGGCTTTTCATTGCTCGCCAGCAGCTGGGCGAGGGCGGCGAGCACCATCAGATGCTCTTCTTCCTGGACGTCGGCCGCGGCTTCCTCCTCCAGCAGCGCGGCGAGCTCTTCCTCCTCATCCGAGTCCATCGCCGAGACAGTCAAAACGCCGAAAACCTTGCGCTCGGTGGGCGTGTACCCACCGTTAAACCGCGCCTCCGTGGCCGGAAACGGCGTCCGGAAACGCCCAGCTTCTGCGGGAGGGGCTGGCGCGGCGAAGCGCTACTATTTTCCGGCGGGGAATGGCTATCTAGCGGAGTAGGCCGGCGGCCGTCGTCGGGATATAGTTAGTGGTGGCCGAGGGCGCGGGGGGTGCGAGGCGAGTCGGGGAAAGAAAACCTTGACTTTTCCTCTGTCGGTGTGGGCCAGGCGTGCTTTTCCCTAGCGCCGGAGCCCCCAACGGCTCCCTAGTGCGCCGAGTTCGGCCTGTGACCGCCGGGCGGAAAAAAGGTCCGAACCGGCGATTTTCGGCGTCCTGGGGGCGCGACTGGGCCGTTTTTTCGGCGCCGGCGCCGAAAAAGTGGCCTGGGGGGCCTGTTGGGGGCGCGGCTGGAGATGCCCTTATATCGTAAAACTTGTCTAGGAAATTACACAAATACACTAATTTTTGAGGCAGAGGTAGTCCAGAATCAGAACTCTAAGCGATTTTTAAAACCACAATTTTTTTTCAGTATTCTTATGCTCCCTTCATTTTTTAGTCTGCGAATAAAATTTGGTCAAAGTCAAACATTGTCAACTTTGACCAAGTTTTTAAAAAAATATCAACATTAACAATATGGAACTAATATTACTAGATGCATCATGAAAGTAGTTTTTATACCACATAGCTTTGACATTGTAGATGTCTGACATTTTTTCTACAAAGTTAGTTAAACTTTATAATTTTTTTTGATTAAATTTTATATGCAAACTAACAAGAAAATGGAGGGAGTTACTCATAATCAAGCATTACAATCACTCGCGGTGATACTCAAGACATCCACTCGACAAGAACCAAGGCAAACCGCAGTGCGACCGTGCAATCTACCAAAGCTCGCCAGAACCAAGGCAAACCGCAGTGCGACCGTGCAATCTACCAAAGCTCGCCAGAACCAAGGCAAACCATGGTCCTCTGGACTACCACTATTCTGACTACGTCTAATGTGAGCAATAGAAGAACCGCGTTCCTTCATACTTTTCAGAATATCTCTAACAAGGAAAGCTTTCCTTGATTAATATCCGTGATGACAATAATCAATACTTCCTCCAAGCAATCAGACCCGACATTGACCAGGAGGCTACTCCATTGCAAAGCCAAAGCAAAACCCTCCCGACTTGCTAGCAATTCGGCCTCTAGTGCATCAGCATATGCGTGTGCATGCAACAACAAAAAATGATGGCTCGGTCATGATCTCTCATGACCATCCTAGACCCACCAATTCGAACAAAAAATGCCCCACCAGTCTTAAGTTTAACTCGACCCACACTAGGTGGTTTCCAGCTGCTCGCCTGAT